GACCGCGGATCAGATACGAAACCGAACAGAGCAGATAATACGCTCGATCGTGCGGGGAGGGAGGATCGAATACGAAATCGATCGAAGAAGATACTACACTTGATCGTGGGGGGGGGGGGTTAAAAAGTTGGGGTGCCTCTCTCTCTCTCTCTCTCTCTCTCTCTCTCTCTCTCTCTCTCTCTCTCTCGCTCACTCACTCGTGCACATGCGAGCAGTTTTTCTGTGTTTTTTGTTTTCTTTTTAAAAACGACCCCGGATGGACCATGGGTCAAACATTAAATTTGATCATGTTCGGGGGGGGGGGGGGGGGGGGGGGGGGAGGAACTGCGGAGAAGAAGCGTAAGAGGTGCGAAGGAGCAATGAAGCAAGGAGGCGGGGGGGAGGGGGAGGAGGGAAGGAGGGGAGGGGCGGCGGAGAAACTGCGGAGGATAAGTGGGGGAGGGAGTACGGAGAAGCTGCGGAGAACAGCCGGATGAGCGGAGAAGCAGGGAGGAGGGGCCGAGGAAGGCGGAGGAGGGGCCGAGGAGGAGAGGAGGAGAGGAGGAGGGGCGGAGGGGCGGAGGAGTGGAGGAGGTGGTGCGGAGGAGCGGAGGACGGGCTGAGAAGGAGCGGAAGAGGGACTGGAGAAGAAGCGGAGGAGGGCCAGGGGAGGGGAAGGGGAGCAGGGGAGCAGGGGAGTGGGGGAGCAGCGGAGGCGGCGTTGAGGATGAGCGGGGGAGGAAGGGCAGAGGAGGAGAGGCAGAGGAGGAGCAGCGGAGGAGAGGCGCAGAGAAGCTGCGGAGAAGCTGCGGAGGATGAGGAGGGAGGGGCGGAGGCATGGAGGATGGTCGAAGGAGGTGGGGCGGAGGCACGGAAAAGTTGTGGAGGCGGCGAGGAGGATGACCGCAGGAGGAGAGGCGGACCCACAGAGGAGCCGGGGAGGAGGGGCGGAGGATCAGGGGAGGAGAAGCAGAGTAGAGCGGACGATGGGCGAAGGCAGGGAGGAGGGGAGGGGGAACAGAGGAAAGGGGGAGGCTTGTGCAGTCAGTGGCGGAGGCGGAGCGGAGGGGGCGGATGCCACTAACCTGTGTCTTCCATCTTGGAGTGGCATTCACCACAGCTCCCGACCAAACACAGTCCAGATATCACACAGGCTCACCACAGCTCATTGCGTTGTGCGCGTGCGGAAGAGAGAGAGAGAGAGAGAGAGAGAGAGAGAGAGAGAGAGAGAGAGAGAGAGAGAGAGAGAGAGAGAGAGAGAGAGAGTGTTGTCGTGTTTGCTATACACAACTCCACAAAAAAGCATGACTGGGCCAGACTGTTTCGCCGGACTTCACCAACTCATCAGGAGGTTGAACCCCGACAGTCTGCCCAAAGAGTAAGTGGTTGACTGTCAGTCCAAAGTGTGTGTGTGTGTGTGGTGCCATGTTCGCCCTACAACTCCACAAACATTGAGCTCGGACTGTGAGTGTATGTGTGTGTTGTCATGTTCGCTATACACAACTCCACATGTGTGTGTGTCTGTGTGAGAGAGAGAGAGAGGGTGAGCTTCACAATGCGACCGGGTGCTCAAGCACGGCGCCCGCCACGATGCGCTTCACAACAATGGACACTTCGCTTGGACAGGACGCTTCACTTCGCATGTCGCGACAATGGGCAACGCGAGCTCCAACGACAACGGAGTGATCGTGACTATAGTTTTAGAGAGCACAAACCCCTAGCCGTAGCTACCGCGCCAAGAAACCGTACCCGTAGGTACCACGATCCTCTCCAAAAGCCAAATGATCCGGCCCGTTGGGCCCGAGGTACCGGGCCAACGGCCTTTGTTGGCGCGCGATCTTAAGATCTGAAGGCCACGCGCCAATCCCACCCGTAGATACGGAAGGACACGACGGCCCGGATTTCAGGTTTATTATATGTTTCCACGATCCAGGCCGTGGGCCAGTAGGACCGACGACGGCCTGGATTAGAGATTGGTTCCCTTAGCGATTTTAATAGTGTAGGGATATATACATCAGGCGATTAAACCACCAGTAAGAAGGCTTCCTTTTCCCTCCACGGATCATCTCCCCCCCCTTGCACCCAAAAGAACCACCACCATGTTTTCTTTTTTGGCTGGTACTGCCAGCCATTCAGCTCCCGTAGGCCATGCCATGAAAGTCCCAGTGCATCCACAGCCGCGATGCAGAAAAATGGCGGCGAAAAGTGCTGGTGGTTTAAACCACAGTACACCCAGGCCTGGAGGCACTGCACTGCGGGCCAAGCTTTTCTGAACCGCCAGCAGCGCACATAAAAATGGCGAGAAAAACTGCTGGAGGTTTAAACCATCAGTTCACCCAGGCCTGGAGGTGCTGCACTGCGCGCCACGCTTTTCAGCGGCGCACCATTTTTCTTTCTTGGCTGGCGCCACCGGCCATTGGGGTATGGCAGGTGCGAGCCCCGAAAAGGTCAGAGTTGGCACAGCCGCAATGCAGAAAAATGGCGTGGAAAAGTGCTGGTGGTTTAAGCCCCCAGTACACCCGGGCCTGGAGGCGCTGCACTGCACACCAAGCTTTTCCGAACTGCCAGTGGTGCACCATGATTCTTTATTGCCTGGCGCCGCCAGCAATTGTGGTCAGGCAGCTCCGAGCCCCGAAAAGTTTGCAGTTGGCAACTTGCAATTTTCTGCAAGGCTGAGGCTGTGTACTGGCAGTCTAACTGTCCACCTTTTGAGTATGAGGATCCAATAGAAAAGAAGCCACGGGCATATAGCCTTTTCAGTAAAAAAGCTGCCACCAGATATGAAAACCAACCTCAGTGATGCCCTGGCCCAGCAAATCTGCTAACTCCCCTAGTCCAGCCCATACCCATGATGGTTCCACTATCGAACCTTCAGGGGTAGGAAGGGAGCAGGGAAATAAGAGGCATCTCATTAGGGGAAAGGGAGAGTCTATATGGGACCAATCTCTGAACCACCAGTGAACACGAACCTCTTTTCTCCAATAATGATTCTTGCCCGGCCTAAGGAATCCAAACCGGTGTGCCATTTACGAGGCACCACCAGCCTTTTTCCTATGTGGACATCAAGCTTTTCCACGGCCTCGTGTCCACAAGAGACCTTTGCGCCATTTGTGTGGCACCATCAGCCTTTTTCTTATGTGAACATCAAGCCTTTCCATAGCCTCGTGTCCACAGGAGATCTTTCCAATGGCTGGGCTGTCCAGTAGCGGTCTAAGGACCAAGTGGACCCCCTGTAACTTTGCCACATCTCAGTTGACCTCCACAATCAGGCCCCTTTCTGAAACACCGAGCCATTCTTCTGTCCTCCATTATTACTGCACCTCTGTCCTTAGCCTCTCCAAACAACGGCCCAATGAAGGAGTAGCAAATTTCTGGGCCCGAGAATATTACATCCCCCCACTCGTCAGTACACCTCTGAGTCGAAATTAATCATCACACCACTTTCCAAACTAAGCAAACCATTTAGCTTTGAAGCTACAACCGTCCTACTCCACGCAGTATCCGAGAAGCATAGCTCTCCAATCCCATGGGCATTGGGGTTCTCCAGAAATCCCTCTCCAGTTGACCTATCACACCACCTCCATAACCTATCCCAATACCTACACAACAAGACCGTTCTTGGGCAGGACAAAAGAGGCGCTCTACAATCCTCTCTGATCTCCTGATTGGGGTTGTATCCAGGCAACTTTTTTTTTTGGAGCAAGGGAGGAGGATGCCCCGCTGCTCAAGATGCGAATGATCCACCAGCCAATCCCTGGTAGTGTGGCAGCTGTCTGGGCCATGTAACATTGCAGAGAAGAGGCGTTAGACGTTTCGCTGCCATTTTTCTAACACATCGCAATGTCGTTTCCACTTACAATATCGTTTCCACTTTTGAAATTGCGAGGTAGTGTGGAGGTGCTCACAATGTGTACCGACGCCCCTAGACTCAGCAATGCCCTTCTTCCTTGCATATCCAGGACTTGAAGCTTGGTGGAATTAACATGAATTGGCCATACTGAACAATGAATTGCCTTGATCTTCAAGAGGATGGCATATACATGGACTGAAGGAAGGATTCAACCTTAATTTTTGAAAGAAGAGCTCAAATGCCGCAAATGCCACAAGCCCCTGTTTCTATGAAAAACGAAAACGCACTTCATAAATGGTAAGATGCATTGACTGCCAGTTGGGAAAAAAAAAAAGAAACAAAGAGAAAAAAGAAGAAAAACAAGCCAATACCTTTCGCAGCCTTTTGGCTAAGATCATGTGTAGTATCTGTTCTGATCATATCTGATACGCGATCTCAAAAAAAAAAAAAAAAAAAAAAAAAAAGCCATGTTTTGATACAACGAGGGAGTTGCACGGCTTAATACTTGTGCAGCAATTCCAGGGCTTTGACTGTCAGTAACAGAAAGACGTGAATGGCCAAAATAGGCTTACCATCTCTCCATACACAAGGCGCAATACCGCTGGAAGCACTCCAAGCACCAGACAAGCCCGTGTTTGTCAGCTCTCTGACACTGATGACATGTCGTCGGCATCTTCCCTGTACTCTGCGCAAAATCCCCAACATTTCAACAAGTCCATCTCGATTACTACAGACCAGACAACGATTTTCCCAGCAGGTTCTCTCTCTCTCTCTCTCTCTCTCTCTCTCTCTCTCTCTCTCTCTCTCTCTCTCTCTCT